TGCAACTGATTTTCCTTATGGTGTGTGCGCCACTAATATAAGAATCGACAGATTTGCTGCATCTGTAAAGAAAATCTTTGCTGTTAAAAATCTAAAGTTTTAAGGATTAATGAAGAAAACGCTCGGTTTGACTCAACTTCCCCACCTTTCACGGGATTCTCCTATGGGATCCATTTAGTAGATGACACATCTCTCTTTATTACAACTACCACAAACTACAACTATAAACTCAGCTATGTAATACTACCTACAGGTGTCAGGGAGTATTTTGGCTTCAGGTCACTCCTTACTCCATCCATGTGAAGCAACATTAAACCAAAGCAATCTCAGAGTTAACTTTAATTTCCTATTCTGCTTGAATGTTGTGCTTTTGGTAAGTTTATGATTCAGGTGGGTGTACTTTGAACACACCACCACCATCATCATCACCCACGTTCTCAACGGTATGACCCTAAATCGCTGCACTCAGGAGCCAGGTAAACAGACAAAACGCATGGACGCTCAGCAATCACATGCAGGAGGATAATCAGGGGAAATGGCAAAAGTATGCGGACACTACATATTACACTCGTATGTCTATGCAGCCGCTGCATTCCTCATTCTCCAGGCCTCCCGATGGACGCACCTTTGGGCTTGCCGTATGAGGACACACGGCCTCGGAAACCCATCTCATGAAGCTCCCTGCGCACCGTGGTGGAGCTCACGCTGGCTCCGGATGCGCTCTGAAACTCGGCGGTGAGCGCTTTTATGGAGGGCAAACACTTCTCCAGCGCCACTCTCTCCAGCACTTGGCGATCCTCCTCTTTCAGCTTGTGCGGTCGGCCGCTCCGGGGCAATGCCGTCGTTATTCCTCCACGCTTCCACTTTAAAATCACGGCGCTGACAGTGGACCGGGGCAGGTTTAACATCGCCGAGATCTCACGGACGGACTTCTTGCACAGGTAGCATCCCACCACGGTGCCCCGCTGAAACTCACTGAGCTCCTCGCTGCGACCCATTGTGCTGCAAATGTTTGCAGACTGCTTTTGCATCGACTCCCACCTCCTCCTCCTCCTCCTCCTCCGCCTCCTCGGAGCTTCGCCCCCCTTTTCTTCTTCTACGGTTGGCTCTCAGGGCTAATTTTAACTATAGCCCACTATCGGGTATATTACTGCCCCCGTATGATGACTAATAGCAATTCAGTGACACTACGTGCTGGATTGTGTTTCATATGACCTAAAAGTGTTTTAACGTGATGCAAACAAACGAGAAGCAAATAAAAAAATAACTTTGGGAAGCTTTTTGAACACATAGATTGATCCTGCAACATACTTTTCTGTGTTACAGCAACAGGATAAATAATAAAAAACAATAATAGTAAAAAAAAAAGTATCACATGACCATAGTTAAGCTCTTATAATGTGAGGTCATTTATTTACCTACACAACGGTGGTCACGGCAGATGCCCACCCCACCGAGCCTGGTTCTGCCGGAGGTTTCTTGTTGTTAAAAGGAGTTTTTCCTTCCCACTGTCGCCAAGCGCTTGCTGAAAGGTGGTCTTTGATTGTTGAGGTTTTCTCTGTATTCTCTATATTATTGTAGGGTCTTTACCTTACAGGATAAAGCATCTTAAAGCGAATGCTGTTGTGATTTGGCGCTATATAAATAAAATTTAATTGAGTTCTAACGCTTTTCTACTCGGGCAGCACCGTGCCACCTTGCTGCCCCACTATTCTTTTGCACTGTTGCCCCACAGCAAGAAGGGCCTGAGTTCAATTCCCCCATCAGGCTGGGGTCTTTCTGTGCGGAGTTTGCATGTACTCCCTGGGTATGTATATATACATACATACATATACACGATTCTCCCGAACATGTCCTCAGTTTTAATACCTACAGACATGTGAACCCCCCCATTTCCACTTATTCAACATCCCTGGAGAATGTCAGACAAGTAACCATCGTTTACTTGAAAATGGACATTGTGGTCAATGCAACTCTTTTATGAGGCTTTTTTTGTTCATTTAACACACAAACACACAGAAACATGTAGTTATTTTGAGTGTTAACAATAACCGTGATCACAGTTTTCTTCATTGTGTGAGCATAAAAGTTTTACTTTGGACTACTGCATCTGTTGTGCCTCCATGAAAGCCCCATTAAACATTTAAACCTCTTAGTTTGATCTCCAGTGTAAAGTGCTTTCCTCCCTCATTATTATGACCTCAAACTGGCACACCAGTGTGCATTAAACCCTCTCAGTGTAACAGCTTACCATTAAGGGAAGCAACTTGAATTTGTTTACTTCACCACAGATGTCCACAGTGACAACAAATAAAGGGAAGTCACAGGAGTTATTTACTGGTCTCCTACTTTTTGACAAAGGTGGCCAAGGAATGCATTAATAAGAGAATGTTGCATACAGCAAATATTCATGTGTCTATGAATATAAGTGTTTGAAAGAGGATATGTTCATATTATTTTCCACATGTGAAATTGCAGATGGATACGAAACACCAGTTTTCACCAAGGTGTCACACGTGATTTTTGAAGTACTAAAGTAAGAACCAGCCAGAGCCCGGTAGGTCAAGACATCAAGAAGAGAAAATGGGGCTGGATAGGCCACACACTCCAAAAACCATCCGACAACGTCACAAGGCAAGCACTGGATTGGAACCCACAAGGAAAAAGGAAAGTGGGGAGATCCAAACAGACGTGGAGAAGATCTGTCGAGAGCGTAATGCATAATACCGCCGGAATGACGTAGACCCAGCTGAAGAGAACGGCACAGAACAGAGTCCGTTGGCGGCCCTATGCTCCACCAGGAGTCTACAGGAAAATTGATTGATTGAAAGTAAGATGACATAGTTAGATCGATTATTTGTCGGAGGAAGACACGATTTTTCTTTTTTTTTTCTTGGTAGACCACAGTGGAATCAAACTAAATCAAAGAATGAAGAAGTGACTGAAGCAGTCACATGATCAGTAAACACAAGGCACCCAGTTCCATTGGGACCCAGAGATGCCCATAACATAACATTAACACTGCCATGTGTGATAGATGACGTGATATGAGATATGTGATATGTTCACGAGCTGTTTCTCACCTTCTCCAAATTTTCCCTTCACATCATTCTGTTTTCATTTGTCCAAAGAGTTGTTTTGTCTGTTAGTTTTCTTTTTTCAGAACTTTGCAGGCACTTTAAGTTTACAGGAAAAGTCAAAGCTGACCTTCTTGTTTTAGAGTGTAACCAGTGGTTTGCACCTTGTTGTGTATTTAGATTCATAAAGGCGTATCTTTATTCCAGTCAATGATACATCTCATCTCCCTGAGAGTGTTTTTAACTTGCTTAGATGTTGTGAAGTTTTTTTAACCATAAAAATAATTCTGTCATCATGCACTTTAATCCAGTGTTGCTCAGCTGGCCAGTGCATTCCTTCTTTTTAACAGTGGAACAGATTGAGTAGGCTCCAGATCTCTTTGGACGTCATATTGAGAGTTTTAGTGAAAAGTGACAAATCAGCATTTGGAATCCAATCCAGATAATTTATCTGCTAAATCATGGAATAAAAGAGGAACACATTGATTGAATTGACTGTTTGGTTTTAAAAAAGTGTCGTTGTCCAACAAGTTTTATACATATATATATCACTATGTGCTGTCATTGTTTTGTGTGTATCATTTTTTATTGTACATAAAACAGACAGGTTTGTAAAAGTTGGAAGAAAAAAAAAAACAGATTCAAAGTTATCATAACAGACAGTCAAAGACATTCCTACACATGCATCATGTATAGAACAAGAAAAGAACAGAGACACTCGTAATCACACTTACATTGTTTTTAGGTTACAAAATAGCACTGGTCTCATATCTGCTGGGTATATAGTTTACAATATATTGATACCATCCATTTCACATCCACAGAGTAAAGATAAAAAAAAAAATACAATGATATAGTGTAAGCAACAACTGACTCATCTCCCATTTTCATTACTGTAGCCCTCTGTCTTTAAAGCTGTACCTTAAAAGAAGGCTTCAGCCTTCACCATTCACTGGAGTGTTAAAGTGCAATATAGCAATATAGAAAGGTTAACACAATCAGAAAGAGCCACACAGATCAAAAAGAAATAGCACACCCTGGTTAAGCTACCAGTAATAAAACAATACTGGATAAGGCTTTATTTTACAAGTCCAATACTTCTTGAGGATTTCTCTTTTTTGAAGAGGAAGGAAAAATGATTTGCAAACAATTATTGGGAAAATAGAGTATTGATGATATGTGATGATTCATTTCAGGTAAGTTCAGAGATAATCGCACTACAAGCAAGCATAAACTAAACTACATA